GGAATTTTTCATTATAGAACTTGGCTTGTATATTCCAACGACGGGCTTCCTCAAATGCCCTAGGTCTTCATGAGCAAGCAAGTTGGATGCACGCCCACTTAGTTTCTTTTGTTGAGCTTTCATATACTTATAGCTCTAGTGCATCCGTTGCATGGCAATCCCTACTCACTCACATTGATATCTATTGATGGGCATCTCCATAGCCCGTTGATATGCCTAGTTGATGTGAGACTATCTTCTACCTTTTTGTCTTCTCCAAAACCACCATTCTATTCCACCTATAGTGCTATGTCCATGGCTCACACTCATGTATTGCGTGAAGATTGAAAAAGTTTGAGAACACCAAAAGTATGAAATAATTGCTTGGTTTGTCATCGGGGTTGTGCATGATTTGAATACTTTCTGTGGTGAAGATGGAGCATAGCCAGACTATATGATTTTGTAGGGATAGCTTTCTTTGGCCATGTTATTTTGAAGAGACATAATTGCTTAGTTAGTATGCTTGGTATTATTATTTCTATGTCAATATTAAACTTTTGTCTTGAAATTTTCGGATCTAAATATTCATACCACAATTAAAAGAATTACATTGAAATTATGCCAAGTAGCATTCCACATCAAAAATTCTGTTTTTTATCATTTACCTACTCGAGGACGAGCACGAATTAAGCTTGGGGATGCTTGATACGTCTCCGACGTATCTATAATTTTTGATTGTTCCATGCTATATTATATCCTGTTTTGGACATTATTGGGCTTTATTATACACTTTTATATTATTTTTGGGACTAACCTATTAACCGGAGGCCCAGCCCAGAATTGTTGTTTTTGCCTATTTTAGGGTTTCGCAGAAAAAGAATATCAAACAGAGTCCAAACAGAATGAAACCTTCGGGAACGTGATTTTTGGAACGAACATGATCCAGAGGACTTGGACCCTATGACAAGCAATCAACCAGGAAGGCACGAGGTAGGGGGCGCGCCTACCCCCCCCCCCCCAGGCGCGCCCTCCACCCTCGTGGGGCCTATGTTGCTCCACCGACGTACTCCTTCCTCCTATATATACCTACGTACCCCCAAACTACCAGATACGGAGCCAAAACCCTAATTCCACCGCCATAAATTTCTGTATCCACGAGATCCCATCTTGGGGCCTTTTCCGGAGCTCCGCTGGAGGGGGTATCGATCACGGAGGGCTTCTACATCAACACCATAGCCTCTCCGATGAAGTGTGAGTAGTTTATTTCAGACCTATGGGTCCATAGTTATTAGCTAGATGGCTTCTTCTTTCTTTTTGGATCTCAATACAAAGTTCTCCCCCTCTCTTGTGGAGATCTATTCGATGTAATCTTCTTTTGCGGTGTGTCTGTTGAGACCGATGAATTGTGGGTTTATTATCAAGTTTATCTATGAACAATATTCGAATCTTCTCTGAATTCTTTTATGTATGATTGGTTATTTTTGCAAGTCTCTTCGAATTATCAGTTTGGTTTGCCTACTAGATTGATCTTTCTTGCAATGGGAGAAGTGCTTAGCTTTGGGTTCAATCTTGTGGTGTCCTTTCCCAGTGACAGTAGGGGCAGCAAGGCACGTATTGTATTGTTGCCATCGAGGATAACAAGATGGGGTTTATATCATATAGCAAACATGCCCGTGCGTTGCAACGGGAGTAAAAAATTCACCCCTCATACACACACTTGACGACACAGCAAATCCCTTGAAATCTTTCATGATGCCACGCAACAACAACATGCTAAGTGGTGTTGTGAAAAAACATAAATGTGTGATGATTTTTGAAGTGTACTCAAGGTGTTTAGAATTCATTATACAACACAAATATCTACCTAGTTGTCGGTATATGTTTATGCATTTGATGTTGTTTCTCGGTGATGCCCAAAAAATATTGCATTAGAATGAAAATAGCAAAGTACGTTTTAGTATTCAATGATATCATGTGCATAAGAGCATTATTTTTGTCATATATGTGTTTGCATATATAAAAATATATGTGCATTTGCAACCATAATTCAATTCAAGACTTAATTTGGTTGCAAACATATCGGATTGCTCCACAAAAAACAACCAATCTATAAGGGCATATGTAATAGGCATTTCTAAAATATCTCATCATATAAAGAACGTATTATTTAAGTTTGCACCCTGAACATATTTCTAAAAATTAGTGATATTTATAAAAATTAACGATATTTATAAAAATTAATGATAAAGGAATATTTGGAATCTACACATTTTTCTGATGAATTATCATATATGACATGTTAGATTTGGAGTTAGGGTTTGAAAGATATGAAAATTTCAAAAAGTATTTGATCTTTTGGAAAAAAGGAAAAGGGTGGGGATCGAACACACAACCTCCAGCGTGGTAGGTGAAGGCACCAACCAGTGCGTTATGTGCATGGTTATTTCATAAGAGGGGATCTCTTCCTTTTGAGCTATGCCCACCGCAGACAAAACAAAATAAAACAAACCAAACGTTTTTCTCACTTACCGGTGGCATTGGTGGGTAATAATTTACAACTTTAGGGGCAGTTTTAATGACGGACGACCAGAAGCACTATTTGCTTTATTATTAAGGGGAAGGTTGCATGAGTTTATCCCTCTACATCATGTCATCTTGCTTAAAGCGTTACTCTGTTCTCTTGAACTTAATACTCTAAATGCATGCTGGATAGTGGTCGATGTGTGGAGTAATAGTAGTAGATGCAGGCAGGAGTCGGTCTACTTGTCTCGGACGTGATGCCTATATACATGATCATACCCAGATATTCTCATAACTATGCTCAATTCTGTCAATTGCTCAACAGTAATTAGTTCACCCACCGTAATACTTATGCTCTCGGAAGAAGCCTCTAGTGAAACCTATGGCCCTCGGGTCTATTTTCCATCATATTAATCTTCCAATACTTAGTTATTTCCTTTGCCATTTATTTTACTTGCATCTTTATTTCTCTTTATCATAAAAATACCAAAAATATTATCTTATCATATCTATCAGATCTCACTCTCGTAGGTGACCGTGAAGGGATTGACAACCCCTTTATCGCGTTGGTTGCGAGGGACTCGTGCGTGGCCTCCTACTGGATTGATACCTTGGTTCTCAAAAACCGAGGGAAATACTTACGCTGCTCTACTGCATCATCCTTTCCTCTTCAAGGGAAAACCAACGCAGTGCTCAAGAGATAGCAGGCACGGGAAAGTGCCGTCAACATAGCCATGGAGTAGATGGCTGCGGAGGAGGGAGGTGACCTGCGCCCGCCATATCATGAAGGAGTCCGATGAGAGCTTGACAATGATCAGATGGCCAAAGTGGAACGGGCCGGATGAAGCGACGCCATAGGAAGTCGACGACGAGGGAGATGAAACAAGGGTGGAGGAGGTGGCGGCGAGGGAGAGTGCGGAAGTCGATATATCAAACCTAGTCTGATACCATGTAAACCTAGATGGGTTTTTGCGAGAGATCGGTTGAGAAGGCAATGCTCGACACCAATATGGTGCGGCATACACATCATATATATAGTTATAAAACCTTTCCTAGTTACAAGGGATTAGATTAGATCCTAACTGATTCTTGACAAACATGTATTCTATCATGGCGTAGGTAGAGTGTGGCAATATGTGACAACAAATCCCACAATAGTTTTTTTCTTTTCCTTTTGCAACCTGAAACTTGTATTACTCAAACCCCGACAGAGTTACAATGAAAAGATGCAAGTTCCAAAACTCTAGGAGGACTAGAGGGTAACCAAGTCATAGTTCTCCCTTCCTCTCTAGCAAAAATAGCCAAACAATTTCTAACTTTATTTTGGGGTCTAAGGATACAAGTAATACGAGTTTCACGGATGCTCGTCATATACTTAATGTCTTTGATTAGATAAGCATAAATTGATCTACCATTGTCGCTGGACTGCACAAGCTTGATCAATTCATCATATGCTTAATGTCTTTGATTAGATAAGCATAAATTGATTTATCATTGTCGCTGGACTGCACAAGCTTGATCAACTCATCATATGCTTAATGTCTTTGATTAGATACGCATAAATTGATCTATCACTGTCGCTGGACTGCACAAGCTTGATCAACTCAAGGGAATCCACCTCCACTTCGACAGACAGCTCGGTTCTCATCAATGCCGATGATAACCCCTCCATACACGCGTTTAATTCTGCTTCCGATGCATCTCTACACGGGAACAGTTCTACATGCTGAAATCACGGTGGCTCCCGACGCATCTCGCAACACCATACCAGCACCCACCAAACCATTCGAAGCGAATGACCCATCCGGCAAAAGTTAGAATGGACACATGAAAAAGCCGCAATACACGACATTTGGGGAAGCTCACGACGGCACAAGAGAATGTTCAAAAAATATGCAGATGTAAACATACGAATACCATAAAATTCATACCTACGAAGATATAGACCGGTCAACGAAGATGAATATTCTTTTTCTTGTGGAAAATTTTGACAAATATTTGTGAACAAATATATGGTACAACAAATAGGACGGCAACTTCTCTTAAACTCAAACACACTGCTTCTATATAACTGAGTTTTCTACCAGTAGAGAAGAACACATGGCAACGGTTCCACTGCTGCCCTCCATTTGAGCTGTCCGACGAGAAAACGAGCGCTCCGGTGCACCGAGAGCCGTTCGTTTTCTGATCGGACGGCTCAGATGGTCACCGAATTGGTTTACCACCGCACCTCGCGGTCCACGATGAGCATTTGGTCAAAATTCGGGTTGAAAATTTCGAACGCGTCGAGGCCTGCGCAGAAGAGGACACGCCTCGTCCCCCCGCCATTAAAACCTCGGCAGGCCGCGCATTTAACGCGCCATTACTGCTGCCTCCCTCTCTGTCCACGCAACGCAGGCCCACCACCACCACCACCGCGGCGCGCGAGGACAGTGCACGGCACCGGCACCGGTGGGGTCACACACCACCGCCGGAGCCGGCGGTGGGAGGTTTTCTTGGGGTCAGCGGCTGAGACGGTCCGGCGAGAGCAGCGCCTCGGGGTCCCCGCACCGGAGCCGGCTCGACGCGCGGTTGCTCCGCCTCGCCGCGGCGATGGACGGGGGCTCGGAGGACAGGGACATGAAGAACCCGCCTCCTGCGGGGGCTGCGCCGGCGCGGCGGCGGGCGAAGGGGGAGGACTTGCCCGCGGCCGAGCGGAACGAGAACACACGGGCTGCGGCCGCCGCGGAGCCCCCGACGCCGCCGAATGGGGACGGCCAGCGCTTGCTCCAGAAGCCCCGGCCGCGGCCGCTGGCGCCGTCCCCGCCTCCGCCGCCCAAGCGGTAGCGCCAGGAAGGGGATGCTGTGGACGCGGCCTCCGTGGCGATATTTCGCTCGAAGCCGAAGGAGTAGGAGCGCTTGAGGAGGAAGTCCCTCGGGTTGAGCTGATCGGGGCTGGCCGGCGTGATCTCCGGCAGGGCGCCGGCGTCGTTTTGTGGAGGCGGCGGGACGGGGTGGAAGAAGAGGAGGTCGTCGAGGCTGGGGCGAACGCGTCGGGCGGAGCGGAGCGGCGAGGAGACGGGGGGCGGGAGCGCGACGGCGGCGCGGCAGAGCGGGCAGGAGGCGTGCGCGCGGAGCCAGACGTCGATGCAGTCGGCGTGGAAGGCGTGCGCGCACAGCGGCAGCGCGCGGAGCTCGTCGCCGTCGGCGAACTCCAGCAGGCACACGGCGCAGTCGCGGGCGCCGGCGCTCGCGCGCGCGGCCTCCGCCTTGAGGAACTGCGCCGAGGGCAGCGACTTGATGGCCGCGTCGTCCAAGCCGTACGGCGAGAAGGTGTGGTAGAAGTTGTCGTAGGTGGTGAAGGACGCGAAGGAGTCGTGCGCCGGGGAGCCGAGCGGGAGCATCAGCAGCCGCCGCCGCCTCCTCCACCCACGCCACCGCCGCCGGACGGCTCGGACCACGCGCCTGGCCAGCCGCGCGTAGAGCACCACGAGCAGCGCCGCCCCCACCACCGCCAGCATGGCGATGAGCGGCGGGCTCATGCCACCCCCGCCTCGCCGCGCGCCCGCGTACGCGAGCACCGCATTAGGCTCCGGCGCGGGCGCAGGCACGGGCGCCGGTCCAGGCGACGCGACCGCAGAGGGAGAAGGCGGCGAGCTGATGAGCCCGCCCTGAAATGCCGCTGTCGGGGACGGCATTGGCGACTGGTACGGGGACGGAGAGGGCGCCGGCGCCGGCGAACCGCCCGGTGGCGGCGGCGGGCGGTGCGCGTGCATGGCGTTCTCCCCGCTCTCCCTTGCCTCTGCTTTCTCACCGTCTCAGTGCGTAGTAGGAGAAGGTGGAGGAGGTGCGCACATGGCAGCAGCGAGTGGAAGTGAGGCTGCGGCGCATCATTGGTGGGAACTAGGGAGAGTGTGGTCGAGCCGAGTGCGAAGCTCCACCATGGCTACACACTACACTCACGCTGGTTGGTGGCATGATTTATTACGAGTGCCAAATGCATTCATTTCGCCACCACCACCACTGGTACTAATGTCCGTCCTTAAAAAAAAATTGAGGCGTGGAAATCACCTTTGTGTTACAAAAACACATGGAGGCGGGGAAATCAAGGGTTTTCTTTTCGACTGAAATCAAGTTTTCTTGTGTACTCCAGTTTGTTTAACCTGAATAGAAATAATCATGCTTTTTTTTTTCTTTGAATTGCAAATGACTTTGTCAATTCAAAATGTGCGGGGGTAACATATGGATAGTAACATATCATTCAAAAAACAAGCTCCCTCTGTGGAGATAGTAACATACGGATAGTCTGAGGCCTGAAGTTGCCTTTTGAAGAGCATGATCTTCAATTTTTTTTCCTTTTCTTTCGCGAGTACCCCTTCAAAATTTGTTTCTCATCCTCCATGTCCGAACTCTACACTTGCCTAGTGGCTCTTCTACACCACGATCTCCTTCAAAATTGCACCGGATAGAGGGAGCTTGAATTAATATCATTTACCACTATCAAACAATCCATAGCCACTTGCGCATAGTAATTCAAGTGAATGACATTCATTGAAGATACCACTTCAACGCAGGCCATAGCTTCTTAACGAAACCGGATCGAAAATTCCCTCATAGACCATCGCCAAAGCACTTGATAAATCCCATGCTAGTGCCTAAAAATAGTCACTGCTACACCCTTTGATGTCTCCGTATAAAATAGTTGCATCTACGTTGATTTAATTTTCAGCATGCCTTGTTTCCACCTAAGAGCTCTTTCTATGAGGCCCAATCCGCCTCACAAGCGACTTCTTCTCTCGCGTGCCAATCTCCGGGTCATATATGAATTTTGTATGAAGGCAATTCGAGATATCGAGATATCTCCAGAGTTTCTTGAGTAAGAACTTTTCGGTTTTCTTGTCACTCCCGTTTGAGGGTGACCCCGACCCCAGCCGACGACATCCTTCTTCCTCACCCTTCTCCATGTAGCTGTCGAAAATAGTTACCGGGAAAGCTTGTTCTCAGACATGCAGTGCCTTTCTCTATTGTTTCAAGTCGGCAAACCTTCGCTAATCGTTAGGCGCATGCGGTCGAAGGTTGCTCCTAGGGTGTACTCCTCGGATGTGCTAATTCTCGGTGCTTAGGGCCGCCTTGTCAAATCGTGGGTGTGTGCTGATAGTTGCAGCGAATATGTGCTTGTGTTTAGTGTAGAAATGCTTTGTTTTCTTTGTTTTAGCTTGACTTTGATATGCTTTGTTAGAGGTTCTTCGATCATACGGTGCTTTCATATGCACCCCAAATTACAAATGCCAGTAGAAAGAGTTTTTCAGCGCCCTAACCCTTGAGTTCACACTCATCAATAGATATACTCCCATCTTCTTGTCAGGACCCCAATCTATGTTTTGTGGATTTGGGGAGCAGGATCGCCTTGATGGAGGTGAACTAGATCTCATTACGGGAGAAGAAGGTAGAACCCTACCTATAATGATTAATTAGATTAGGAATAAACTTCTTCTTCCTTTACTCATTATTATACGAGGCTTAAATAGTCGGGTTCAATTTACATCGGTAAAAGATATTAATGGTCACTACTATTCATCTCAATAGTCTGTGATGCTTTTATCCACTTCCATCTAGTTCGTCCGTTAATTGACGAGGTGATGTGAAGGAATCGACACTTTAAGGTTTAGTCCTGGCCCCGACACTTCTCTTGTTAACTAAGATTTACAATTTTCTTTCTCCACTAATCCGACTGCTGCTAGAAGAAGCATCACATCGGTCACGCCTTCCAGATTGGATATTCCAACCTTATGTGTAAAGGTCGATTGTGTGCTAAGCTCGCACTTGCAAACTACGGCCCACTTTTTTTAACAAACCCCAAATGAAGTAGCAAGAACGCAATTGGATCCCCATGCTAACCTCATGGGGAATGCAAAAATTCCACCATCTTTGGCATGGACCTTGTGAGCATAGGAGAAGGAGGACAGGGTCTCTCCTATGAAGGTTGACAACAAGGGCATCACACAAGGCAACAAAAAGAACCATCGACCAATGAACCACCCTAACCACCCAAATCGCATGACATAGACAATTTATTGATTAATCTGAAACTCCAGGTGCAGAGCTTGACGTAGAGGTACAAAAATTTGACTGATATCTACCAATGCCAGCAAGTATCGCCCGAGATCTCTAGATTGAAAGACCAAGAGCGTTGATTCCCTGTTCTCCTTCCCCAACATCCCCGAGGACGAATAGGCAGCCAACATGATGCCCATCCCACCCGATTTGAGAGCACAATGAGCTTTATTTAGGAAGCCCTGACTAGATCCACCCCTCTCTGACACTGTCCATCATGAAAGACGACTGGACGAAGGGACCTATCTTTTTTGACGCGACTCACACGCGCGACAACAAAACTCGACTTTGCATCAAGCCATACTTCGGCATAGCGCCACATGCCCCATGGGCAAACTCAACCCTAGATCTCGGCCTAGCAATGCTATCTATATCAACATCCGATCCTCCACACCCGGAGCAATAAGGGATGGAAGGTGGAATGGAGTTGCCAATTTTAAAGTGAAATTATATGACTCACTCATAGTGAATTTTCACCATATGTTGACAGTTGAGCTGACGCCAATCATCCAACCATATCCATTAAATGTCAACTCTTGTTCAACTGGGAGAGAAGAGAGAAGGGCCGGAAAGAAAAAAACATTTGGATGCGGTGGGTCCGAGACTGAATTGGTGTGTCTGAACTGTTTCAAAGCTCCCCTAGCTTTCATGTTGGATTGTGCGATTTCGGGCATCCGCCCATGGCCGCAAGCATTCGATGATCTGCCATGGATGGATAAAAATGCTCTGACCATCCGATCCAAGGAGATCTGGGGGCGTTGGCGTGACGGAAAGAAGTCCAAAATCGGCAATGGAGTTGGCCGTCGAGTGGACCCCACCGGGGAAGGGCCCGGTGGCAGAGTAGGCGTGAGCTGGCCCAAAACTGATGTATGGGAGCCTGTCGTTTATCTCTCTGAAGAATAGAAAAAGTCTGCATTTCGCCTGTTTCTCTCGCCCCCTTTCGCTGATCGCTGGGGCCTCACAATCAATCGGCTACTCCCCTCTCCTCTCGCGCGTGGCGAATTCCCCCCTCCCTCCCGCACGCGGCAGCGACC